CAGTGCATTACATTGTACAGTGCATTGCAGAGTCCAGTGTGTTACAGAGTACAGTGCATTGCGGTGTCCAGTGTGTTACAGAGTACAGTGCATTGCTGTGTCCAGTGTGTTACAGAGTACAGTGCATTGCTGTGTCAGTGTGTTACAGAGTACAGTGCATTGCGGTGTCCAGTGCGTTACAGAGTACAGTGCATTGCTGTGTCCAGTGCGTTACAGAGTACAGTGCATTGCGGTGTCCAGTGCGTTACAGAGTACAGTGCATTGCGGTGTCCAGTGCGTTACAGAGTACAGTGCATTGCGGTGTCCAGTGCGTTACATTGTACAGTGCATTGCAGTGTCCAGTGCGTTACAGAGTACATTGCATTTCGGTGTCCAGTGTGTTAGTGTACAGTGCATTGTGGTGTCCAGTGCATTGCGGTGTACAGTGTGTTACAGTGTACAGTGCATTACATTGTACAGTGCATTGCGGTGTCCAGTGCATTACATTGTACAGTGCATTGCGGTGTCCAGTGCATTACAGAGTACAGTGCATTTCGGTTTCCAGTGTGTTACAGAGTAGTTCATTGCGATGTCCAGAGCACTGCGGTGCCAAGTGCGTTACAGTGTACAGTGCATTGCGGTGTCCAGTGCGTTACAGAATACAATGCATTGTGGTGTCCAGTGCGTTACAGAGTACAGTGCATTGCGGTGTCCAGTGTGTTAGTGTACAGTGCATTGTGGTGTCCAGTGCATTACAGTACAGTGCATTGCGGTGTCCAGTGTGTTAGTGTATAGTGCATTGTGGTGTCCAGTGTGTTAGTGTACAGTGCATTGTGGTGTCCAGTGTGTCAGTGTACAGTGCATTGCGGTGTCCAGTGTGTCAGTGTACAGTCCATTGCGGTGTCCAGTGTGTCAGTGTACAGTGCATTGCGGTGTCCAGTGTGTCAGTGTACAGTCCATTGCGGTGTCCAGTGTGTCAGTGTACAGTCCATTGCGGTGTCCAGTGTGTCAGTGTACAGTGCATTGCGGTGTCCAGTGTGTCAGTGTACAATCCCAATAAGTATATATTCATTGGTTTGTGTAAAAGTTAAAGCATCTGCAAACTATGGTATAGATACTGGAATTTATGCTGCTTTTACTTTCTGCTTGCCTATCATATTTCTTGGGGTGCTGAAATGCCAGGGCAGTATAAACACCCCCAAATGACCTCTTTTCGGAAAGTAGACACCCTAAGCTATTTGCTGAGAGGTATGTTGAGTCCATGGAAGATTTATTTTTTTTCCACGAGTTCTTGGAAAATTACCCAAAACAAAATATTTTTTTTTTTAACACAAAGTTGTCACTTAAATGATATATTGCTCACACATGGCATGGGTAAATGTGGAATTACACCCCAAAATATTTTCTGATACTTTTCTTGAGTATGAGGATACCACATGTTGGAGACTTTTTGGCAGCCTAGCCACAGGAGCCTGAAATCCAATGACCCCTTTGAATGCCAGATGGTGTGTAAATTCCTCATTTCACTTCCTCGCTATCTATCACAGTTTCAAAGGCTCCGAATTTCCAGGATAGCACAAAACCCCCACAAATGACCCCTTTTTGGAAAGTAGACACCCTACGCTACTTGCTGAAAGGCATGTTGAGTCAATGGAAGATTTTTTTTAACCACAAGTTTTTGAAATATGACAAAAATAAAAAAATTCATACACAAAGTCGTTACTTAAATGATATATTGCTGACACATGCCATGGGTACATGTGGAATTACACCCCAAAATATATTCTGATATTTCTTCCTTTTCACTCTCCACCCCCCCCCCTACCTTTTTTATTATTTTTATTCAGTTTGCCCTGCTCTTGAGAGGTCCTTTTTTTCTGTTTCTGACATTGAAGGTTGCTTTTTGAAGCAAAGCCCCTGCCCTACATGAGTCCAAGAATAATTGCACTTTATAGATACTGTACTAGGGTTGCTTTTACAAATACATCATGGAGACAAGGATGGATGGGTGAGTTTGCTTTGAATATTAAAAATGAGTTAAATAGTGTTTTAGGTTTGTGGTGCTCAGATGACGTGTAGTTCCGCTTTAAACTTCCTTTTAGGGGCTCAAAAGTTTATTATTAAGAAGAGCAACCATAGGCTCTGGGGACAGTGAGCTACCGAAGTGTGGGGAGCATGGCTTTCAGTTTATTGTGCCTAGTGCTCATTTCTCCTGATGGCAGCAGTATAACCCTATGTTGCATAATAACATCAAGTTGTGTCCCTTAGCAGACTCAGAGAAGAGGATTTTAAACTGAGTCACCACTTGCACTTTAACCCCTTGGTGCCGGTGCCTCCCGGCCCTTTAAGGGTTCCAGAAGCTGGGAGGCGGGCGGGGTTTTAGGGTCACGTGACTGCCGTTATTTGCTGTCACATAATCGGGAAAGGTCCCGATTGCAAGAGGAGATCGGGACCTTTCCGTGAGTACCGAATGTGTGTACTGGGAGCGCGCTCTCAGCACATATGTTTTTTTTTAGTAGAACGCAAATGTGTGGCCACTCGGCGTCTAGGCCTGGAGGCTGCACATTTGTGTTCAGCCGGCGCCAAGAGGTTAATAACCAATATCCATCAATAAACTGTTAATTCTATTATGAAAACACTGCAAAAGTCAGTTTTATCTTGACTAGTTGAAATAATATACAGCAATATTCAGGACGTTGTTCACAGTTCCACCGGTCAGCCTTGTGTCAGGGGACTCAGTACATGCAGTGCCTATATATTTACAGGGTCAGATTCACATAATTTCAGAAAATAAAGATAACAGAAGCAAGCCGTACAAGATGAATGAAAGAAGAAAAATCAAAGCCACGAAAAAATTGTTTTTCTAGAACATGTTTAAAGCGTCACTAAACCCAGGACCCTGCATTCACTCTAGCGTCACTAAACCCAGGACCCTGCATTCACTCTAGCAAACACAGATGCTCCTGCGCTTGGGGATGGACTCAATCTAGGACCACATCATGAATGTTCTGGAATATGAACACCTTGCTGCACTCAAAAGTCTAAATGTACTGAATGGAGAAAGAACAAACAGAGGGCGCACCGGCCTAGTGCAGTACTTAAAAAAATATTTAACAAGAGATAAAAATAAGTATTGTACTCAAAAACGACAGTAAAGTCAAAGGCACATCATGAAAGAACAGCTTGGTCAAAACCGCGCTACGTGACAGTCCGCATTGGGGAGTGTAGGCTCTGAGGAAGAGGCAGGTCCTCGAAACGCGTTAGGCTATTGGATGGCTACACTTCCCAATGCGGACTGTCACGTAGCGCGGTTTTGACCAAGCTGTTCTTTCATGATGTGCCTTTGACTTTACTGTTGTTTGTGAGTACAATACCTATTTGTATCTCTTATTAAAGATTTTTTTTAAGTACTGCACTAGGCCGGTGCGCCCTCTGTTTGTTCTTTCTCCATTCAGTACATTTAGACTTTTGAATGTACCAAGGTGTTCATATTCCAGAACATTCATGATGTGGTCCTAGCCTACATTGAGTCCATCCATTGTGAGTACAATACCTATTTTTATCTCTTATTAAACATTTTTTAAGGTAATGCACTAGGCCGGTGCACCCACCTGCATTCACTATATCTGGTCTCCCCGGACCCTGCATTCACTATATCTGGTCTCCCATAACACTGCATTCACTATATCTGGTCTCCCCGGACCCTGCATTCACTATATCTGGTCTCCCCGGACCCTGCATTCATTATATCTGGTCTCCCCGGACCCTGCATTCGCTATATCTGGTCTCCCCGGACCCTGCATTCGCTATATCTGGTCTCCCCGGACCCTGCATTCGCTATATCTGGTCTCCCCGGACCCTGCATTCGCTATATCTGGTCTCTCATAACACTGCATTCACTATATCTGGTCTCCCCGGACCCTGCATTCACTATATCTGGTCTCCCCGGACCCTGCATTCACTATATCTGGTCTCCCCGGACCCTGCATTCACTATATCTGGTCTCCCCGGACCCTGCATTCACTATATCTGGTCTCCCCGGACCCTGCATTCACTATATCTGGTCTCCCCGGACCCTGCATTCACTATATCTGGTCTCCCCGGATCCTGCATTCACTATATCTGGTCTCCCACAGTACACAGAACATGGAAGTGCAATTATTTTAGTAGATATAAACTGCTAAATACCTTTTCTCATCAGCAGTTAGAGCAGTCTTGTGATTTCAGCTGAGCAGTGGTAAAAGCTTGTAGGAGGAGTTTTCTCTAGGAGGATGTCCTCTGTCTGGACAGTACTGATCACATACACTCTCCCAAGAAGAAAAAACCTCTCTAGCAATACACACCAAACTGAGCATGTGAATGTGGCTACCAGTTCAGTCTGTCTTATCAGGTGAACATCTGAACAAGAGGAGGGGCAGAGAAAACAGGATCAAACAGCCTTTTTACACAATGCAGAGGATTAACCCCTTAGGTTCCACAGTGAGTATAACAGGCATGCTTTACTGCATATACAGACTGATTGTACTGTTGTGGGTTTAGTAACATTTTAACTACACAATAATCATGCATGATTGGTACATTCCTTTAACTACTGCACTTCTTTTTTTTTTTTTTTTTTTTTGCAAAAGCTAAAATAAACACACAATATGCACACTAGGCTGCATCAATGATCAGGTAGGTGAAAAACGTTTGCAATGCCATTTTACGAAGCTTTTGTTTTATTTTGATGAGACATTTTGAACATAAAGACAAACCATTTGGATTGTTTTTATAAAGAGTTTTAAAGTTTAGTTGGGTGACAAACAGAATCAACAAAAATCAAGTAATATCAATTGTGTCAACTGAAGTTTTGGGATATAAACCACATTTTCAAACGTGTAGTGTGGGTCGAAGTCCATTGGAAATCCTGTTGTACTTTGAATGTCTGTAGTTTTATTAACTAATGCTCACAGTTCAGGCTGGCAGCTTAGTAATACATCCATTAACGGTCTAAAATCATCACACTGATTGTTTAGGATTCGCTACTTGTTAACAGTAAAAGCCTGTAATCCGGTTATAGCTCGTCCCAGGATCAAGGCGTGGACATCATGTGTACCTAGAAGGAGATATAATGTACATATTAGGGACATTGATCCAAATAATAATAGGCAACTAGCATTTTCAGAAAAGGAGCTCAGCAATCGAATCTGTCGTCAATTTGATTTAGTCTGATACTTGAAACTCAGCAGTGTTGAATAAGGGCAGCAATTCTCTACCTTCATACGTGTTCACGGCCTCCAGGTTCATGACGTGTCTGATTATGTGGTACTCGTCGCAAATACCATTACCGCCAAGCATATCCCGAGCCTGACGAGCGATATCCAAGGCCTTTCCACACGAGTTCCTCTTCAGAAGAGAGATCATTTCTGGAGCAGCTCTGCACAGGTAGGGATTAAAACAGAGATGTATTATTATTCCTGTCTATGACAGAGTGGCCCTCACAAAACAGCATCATTTCCAACACATCATCATATCACTGTCCAAATCTTGCTGCCTCAACGTCACCAAAATGTGACCTTCCTAACCAATGATACCACTAAGTTTCTAATTCACTCCCTGGTCATCTCTCGCCTCGACAACTGCAGCTCTCTCCTCATTGGATTACCTTTGCATAGACTATCCCCTTTCAGTCCATTTATTTTATTTCAGGTACTTATATAGCGCCATCAATCTATGCAGCACATTACATATACAGTATCTCCCAGAAGTGAGTACACCCCTCATATTTTTGTAAATATTTTATTCTATCTTTTCATGTGACAACACTGAAGAAATGACACTTTGCTGTTAAACCACTGTATGGTCTTGGCCACCTGGCAGCTCAGTTTCAGGGTCTTGGCAATCTTCTTATAGCCTAGGCCATCTTTATGTAGAGCAACAATTCTTTTTTTCAGATCCTCAGAGAGTTCTTTGCCATGAGGTGCCATGTTGAACTTCCAGTGACCAGTATGAGAGTGAGAGTGATAACACCAAATTTAACATACCTGCTCCCCATTCACACCTGAGACCTTGTAACACTAATGAGTCACATGACACCGGGGAGGGAAAATGGCTAATTGGGCCCAATTTGAACATTGTCACTTAGGGGTGGACTCACTTTTGTTTAGACTTTAATGGCTGTGTGTTGAGTTATTTTGAGGGGACAGCAAATTTACATGTTATACAAACTGTACACTCACTACGTCACATTGTAACCATTTAGCCACTGTGCTGCCCAGTCCATCATGAATGCTGCTGTCAGACTCGTCCACCTTACCAACCGTTCAGTGTTTGATTCCACTCTCTCTCAATCTCTTCATTGGTTGCCACTCACCCAACAAATTGATTTCAAAACACTGACAATTAACAACTTACAAAGCCATCCACAACTCTGCCCCCAGCAACATCACCAACCTTGTCTTAAAATATCAACCAAATCGACATCTTCATCCTCCCAATACCTGCTCTCTAGCTCCCTTGTCACCTCCTCCTATGCTCACCTTCAGGACTTCTCCAGAACCTCTCCCATCCGTTAGAATTCCCTACCCCAATCTGTCTATCTCCTACTATGTCTACTTTTAGACAATCCATGAAAATCCCACTCTTCACAGAGGCCTATCCCGCCTCCAAAAAACAACTGTACTTTCACCTTCTCAATTGGCTTACCCCCTTCAGTTATTACTTTATGTATCACTTGACCTCCCTCTTAGATTGTAAGCTCTGACGAGCAGGGCCCTCTGATTCATCCTGTACTGAATTGTATTGCAACTGTAATGTCTGCCTTCATGTTGTAAAGTGCTGCACAAACTGTTGGCGCTATATAAATCCTGCACTTTACAACATGAAGGGAGACAGTACAGTTGCAATACAATTCAGTACAGGATGAATCAGAGGGCCCTGCTCGTCAAGTGCTGAGCAGACTGTTGGCGCTATATAAATCCGGTATAATAATATATTAATAATAATAATAAAGAAAGTAAAAGTTCCATTTATTAGTTAGAGGCAGGATAGGTCTCTCTGAAGAGATGGGATTGTCTAAAAGTAGACAGAGTAGGAGTTAGTCGACAGATTGCAGTAAGGAGTTCCAGAGGATGACCAGCTTACACAGGTAAGAAAATTAACAAAACAATCTGGTTGCTGTAGACAGGACAAGATTCCTGCCATTACCTCTATTAGCCAGAAAAGCCTCTTCTGCACTACTTCCTTTTAGATTTAGTTTAACCACTTCTCGTCCAGCCCATGTATATAAATGGCTAGACAGGAGCAGTGCAGGGTCGGGTGGCCGTTTATAAACGTCCTCCCTGCTTGTGCGCAGCACTGCAATCCGGTGCCTGCTGTGTCCTCCAGACACAGTGAAACACCAATCGTTGTACCTCTGTGCGAGGTCCCGATCATGTGATCACTGATTGGCGTCTTCAAAATGGCTGTATTTAGTTCACTTCCATCGGTGGCAAGTACTAGAGTGTAGAATTTTTTCTGGTTCCTTCAATGGTAATTCCCATTAGTCATTTATGTATGATACTAATGCACTACATCCTTTACATTTTTTTTTATATATTTATTCCACCTTTAGAATCACTTTATATTTTGGATTCATTTCCCTCTATGCTGGTCACTCAGGAAGATCTTTACCCACCATTTATGTATCATGGCACACTCACTAAGAAGGTAATGAGATGAATATCTATAATCTAACCAATTTGAATATGTGCATCCTACTAGGTTGATATAAAGATGATAAGCCTCTGATTCTTCTGAATTCATGATAATTCACTATTTAATTCCTAGGATTCTATCATACACACTGTGATGTTCATGAAGGAATAGCTATAGAAGAAAACGAATTTGCTAGGTCATACAGTGTGGAACTTTACATCAGATGAATACAGAAGGAAATGTTACTGCCTCACATTGATTATTTTTGCCCATACAGCTATTTTGAAGACGCCGAACGGTTCTTTATTTTAATTCTTTGATTTCAATATGATTGCAACATGTTCACCATGTCTATGTCTACCTTTTTCATGATCCATGTGATCTAATAAATACACTATTCCATTCACTCCTGTAGTGATATATTACTCTGCATAGGATTTTAATTAACCATCTTTCAGGCGGTTTTGCACTAGTCAACTGCCATTCTGTTCTATTGAACTTAACCTTTAACCTTTTTACTGATGCCTGACTTTGGTTGGTTTGGGCTTAGTTGAGCTCCACCAACTGCCATTTCACTATCCAATGAGAATGTCACACTGGCCAAAACAAAAAGCAAGAAAAGGCTCCAGTCACAAAAGCCCCATTCACAGGCTTATGCAGGCCATAGATAGGGAGAAAACCGGCCGATTTTTCTTTAAAAAAACAAAAAATCGGTCGTTCAAGCGGCCGACGTTACTAGGAATGGTAAAAAAAAAAAATCGGCCGATTTTCATCCCGTCTACAGCTGGCAAAAAGTGTCCCTGCAGAGAGCTCCGCTATTTCTTTGACAGTGCTTTGACATTTATAGCGGCTGCAACAATGTATCTATTTGTATCCATTTCGGATACAGATGTTTTTATTCGGAAACAAATAGATACATTGTTGCAACCGCTATAAATGTCAAAGCACTGTCAAAGAAATAGCGGAGCTCTCTGCAGGGACACTTTTTGCAGGACTGGAATTCTTCTTCTTCATCATCCTCTTCTTCTTCATCCTCATCTTCTTCTTCTTCCTCTTCCCCTTCTTCTTCCTCTTCTTCTTCCCCTTCTTCTTCTTCCTCTTCTTCTTCTTCAACCTCTTCATCTTCTACTTCATCCTCTTCTTCTTCTTCTTCTTCATCCTCTTCTTCTTCTTTTTCTTCTTTTTGTCTTCCTCTGGCAGGTCACTGCTTATGCACAGATTTTTTTATCGGTAAAAAGATCTGCTGATTTGCCCATAATTGCCACGAAAATCGTCCGATCTGCAAAATCGGTCGATCTTTTTCCAACTTCACCGATAAAAAAAAATCTGCCAAAATACCGAAAAACGGCTGAACAATTAACCCACTAACGATCCGAAAATTGGCCGATTTTATTTTCGGCCGAAAAATCGGCCGATTTTTGACCCATCTATGGCCTGCATTACTGATCTATTTACACAGGCTTTCGCTGGCAACAAAATCCCGAGTACAGCTGCGTCATTCAATCACAGAGATCTGTGAGTGGATAAACTACAAGTCCCATCTGCCACTACAGCAGACAGACTTGTAGTTCTCAATGGAACACAAGTGCAGTGATCACCACACTCTTAGCCCATTGACACTTCCTCCAGCTCTCTATACAGCAAGAGTTTGCAGTAGCCTAAGGCTGGTCATACATTATACAATTTTCTTGAGATTTTTTGTTTAGATTTACCAAAAACCATATAATAGGTCAAACCTAAACAACACTTTCAATCCAATTAGGTAGGCTCTTGCACTACATAGTTGAAGGTAAATCTAAAGGAAATGGGGCAGAAATTGGACAGAAAATTGTATAATGTATGGCCAACCTAACACTGCACTCACCGTCCACTGATTGCAGATGCAATGCTTCACAGGCTCCGGTGAAAAAAAATAAATAAATGCATTTTTTTTCCTACAAAGACCCAGCAATGGCTCAACAATGCAGCTGCACATCAAGCACATCCTGTCTCTTCTTTTTACAGGTCCATGGAAGCAGGTAAGTGTTCTATTTAGTGATCCAGTAACAATATCACTGCTCTGACATGGGGCATGCAGTTGGTGTCATAAGAACACCATTTCACGAAGGAAGGGAAGGATTTAGAACTGAAGGAGTGGCCTGAAGCTACAGAACATCTTCAACATTACAGAACAAGTCCAGTTGAATGTAACTAGATATACCACGACCTGGATCAAACCTTCACAAAAATGTCACTAATGGGCTAATCAAGTGCTGACGGGGCATACTTGTCCTCATCTTTCAGTCTTCCCAGCTGTAGACAGGCCTGTAGACCGATGGTGATCTCTGTCAGCATATCCGCCATCTTCTTCTGAATGAGCTGATTCCTGGCAAGCGGTACACCAAACTGAATTCTGTATGAGGAACAAAGAATCAGTCTTGGATATCAAAACTGGTTTACCTACTTCAAAAATAACTTATAATGGTTCATGCAGACCTCTCATCACACAAATGATACCTAATTTTAGTTAAATTTCAGCACATACCAGCAGTGCTAGTGTAGGGTGCACAGGCAAAAAAAAATTCTGGATTTTTCTTTAGCTTCTGAAATCCTGCAAGACATTGGACATTCGCAGAGAACAGCCAGAGCTAGGCAGGCAAAAGATCGCCAAACGTTACATGACGAGCAGACCTGGAAACCTAAGCTGTTTATGCAGCTCAGAATACAGGTTTGTTAACCTCCTCGGCGGTATGATTCTTTCCGATTTTTTGTGCTGAAAGTGGTACCATTTTTTTGCATGGAAATACCGTATTTTTCGCTCCATAAGACGCACTTTTTTCCCCCCAAAAAAAGGGGGGAAAATGTCAGTGCGTCTTATGGAGCGAATATAAAGCGGCCGGTCCGGTATTTCTGCCGCCACCATGTCAGAATACCGGGCCGGCCGCTCAGCTGTTCTCTCCTGCAGGGCCTTACCTGTTCCTCGCTCCAGCGCTGCACAGTCTTCCCGCGCTGGCTTCTGTGACAGCCCGGTGCCCACTGCGCATGTGCTGCGCTTTGTGAATGATCTGGTGTCTTCTGGGACACATGACAGGTCCCAGAAGGCGCCGGGCCATTGACAAAGCTCAGCGCTTTTCGCGCATGCGCAATGGGCACCCGGCTGTCACAGAAGCCGGCCCGGGAAGAAGAGGGAAGGACAACTCTGCGGAAGTGGGAGCGGGTACCTGTCAAATTCAGATACCCGCTCCCCCTCCCTCCCCAAAGGTCAGCAGTTTCTGGTCATCCCCTGCACTGTCTGCAGTCTCTGGTCATCCCCTGCACTGTCTGCAGTCTCTGGTCATCCCCTGCACTGTCTGCAGTCTCTGGTCATCCCCTGCACTGTCTGCAGTCTCTGGTCATCCCCTGCACTGTCTGCAGTCTCTGGTCATCCCCTGCACTGTGTCCGCAGTCTCTGGTCATCCCCTGCACTGTGTCCGCAGTCTCTGGTCATCTCCTGCACTGTGTCCGCAGTCTCTGGTCATCTCCTGCACTGTGTCCGCAGTCTCTGGTCATCTCCTGCACTGTGTCCGCAGTCTCTGGTCATCTCCTGCACTGTGTCCGCAGTCTCTGGTCATCTCCTGCACTGTGTCCGCAGTCTCTGGTCATCTCCTGCACTGTGTCCGCAGTCTCTGGTCATCTCCTGCACTGTGTCCGCAGTCTCTGGTCATCTCCTGCACTGTGTCCGCAGTCTCTGGTCATCTCCTGTACTGTGTCCGCAGTCTCTGGTCATCTCCTGCACTGTGTCCGCAGTCCATTGGTTCAGAATATTTTTTTTTGTTTTTGCCTCTAAAACCTAGGTGCGTCTTATGGAGCGAAAAATACGGTATGTATATTTTTTTTTATTGTAGGCCTGTAATTTTTAAGAATAACTCACTGAAATCTGTACGAACAAGAGTCTAGTAAACATTCAGGATATGATAAAACTTGAAACACGAAATCATAAATTATAATTCAATAAATAATCATTGAAATTTGAAATACAGAGGCAAATTCGCACATCGCTGAGCAAAGTCGCAAAATCGTTTTCAGTGTCTGATGATGAATTTCCCCCACGAATCATTATCACTCAATTCTGCAAGTGGATCTGATTTACTATCGCTGTTCTCTAGCCGGTCTAAAACCGCTTTTGACCTAAAGGGACGCTTTTTGGACGCCATGGACTTTTCTAAGTTTCCAGGCAGAAAGAACAGTCAAAATGCAGGCAGGGTACAGGACAAAGCACTCGGGACAAAATGTACAGTTGCAAGAAAAAGTATGTGAACCCCTTGGGATTACGTGGAGTTTTGCATGAATTGGGCATAAAATGTGCTCTGAACGTCATCTAGGTCACAACAATAGAAGAACACAGTCTGCTGAACATAATACTACACAAACATTAGATGTTGCCATGGTTTAATTGCACATAACATGTAAACATTCACAGTGCAGGGAGGAAAAAGTATGTGAACCTTTGGACTTAATAACTGGTTGACCCTCCTTTGGCAGCAATAACCTCAACCAAACGTTTCCTGTAGTTGCAGATCAGACCTGCACAACGATCTGGAGTCATTTTGGACCACTCCTCTTCACAAAACTGTTTCAGTGTAGCAATATTCTTGGGATGTCTGGTGTGAATCGCTCTCTTAAGGTCATGCCACAGCATTTCAATCGGGTTGAGGTCAGGACTCTGACTGGGCCACTCCAGAAGGCGTATTCTGTGCTGTTGCAGCCATTGTTTTGTTGAATTACTTGTATGCTTTGGGTCATTGTCCTGTTGCATCACCCATCCTCTGCGGAGCTTCAGTTGGCAGACAGATGGTCGTACGTTTTCCTGCAAAATGTCTTGATAAACTCTGGAATTCATTTTCCCATCAATGACAACAATCCGTCCAGGCCCTGAGGCAGCAAAGCAGCCCCAAAGCATGATGCTCCCTCCGCCATGTTTCACAGTGGGGATGAGGTTTTGATCTTGGTGTGCTGTGCCTTTTTTCCTCCACACATAGTGTTGTGTATTCTTCTCAAACAACTCAATCTTGGTTTCATCTGTCCACAGTATATTTTGCCAGTAGTGCTGTGGAACATCCAGGTGCTCTTTTGCAAACTTCAAACATGCTGCAATCTTCTTTTTGGACAGCAATGGCTTCCTCCGTGGTGTCCTCCCATGTACTCCATTCTTGTTTAATGTTTTCCTTATTGTAGATGTGTCAACAAAAATGTTAGCATGTGCCAGAGATTTCTGTAGGTCTTTAGCTGACACTCTGGGATTCTTCTTTACCTCATGCAGCATTCTGCGCTGTGCTCTTGCAGTCATTTTTACAGGACGACCCCGCCTAGGGAGAGTAGCAACAGTGCTAAACTTTCTCCATTTGTAGACAGTCTGCCTTACCGTGGACACCTGAACATCAAGGCTTTTGGAGATACTTTTGTAACCCTTTCCAGCTTCATGCAAGTCAACAATTCTTGATCGTAGGTCTTCTGAGAGCTCTTTTCTGCGAGGCATGGTTCACATCAGACAGTGCTTCTTGAAACCAGTAAACCCAAAACAGGTGTGTGTTTTTTAAGGGCAGGACAGCTGTCAGCAACACATCCAATATCATCACACTGATTGGAGTCAAGGTTGGCTCACTCCTGGCTCCAATTAGCTCTGGGAGAAGTCATTAAGCTAGGGCCTCACATACTTTTTCCTCCCTGCACTGTGAATGTTTACATGTTATGTGCAATTAAACCATGGCAACATCTAATGTTTGTGTAGTATTATGTTCAGCAGACTGTGTTCTTCTATTGTTGTGACTTAGATGACGTTCAGAGCACATTTTATGCCCAATTCATGCAAAACTCCACGTAATACCAAGGGGTACACATACTTTTTCTTGCAACTGTATGTGAAATGGTTTGAAACAGCAATGACAGCAAAAATGACATTTTTAAAACATTTCAAATTTGCCGCCGGTTCCGGCGCCCGTACGTCCCGGCGTCACAGGGACCGGAACACAGAAGCCGGATGCTGGCATCAGCCGGAGAAGATGGCCAGGGACGCTGTAGGGGACACATCGTGGGAGCGAAGGACAAGGTAAGTGCTGCAGGGACTCCCTGAGCAATGCCGCATGGTAAGCCCAAGTGTAGTTCGGGGCGACCGCTCTTGGTATTGAAATTTTACCCCGAGCTACACTCGGGAATACCGCCAGGGGGGTTAAGATAAAAATGTCAGCATTAAAGCAGAATTAAGGCACCTTATTATTGATACTATAAGTCATCCCAGGTACATTTGAATAACAATTCCTTGATGTGTGTGTTAGGATTCTAGGATGAAGACGCCCTTACACCGCAGGTAAACACCTCTATTACCAGATTGCTATTCCTGGCGCATAAATGTATTGCCTCCAAGTATGTATCTCCTCTTCCCCCAACTTTTGAGGATTGGCGTACTCAGAATAATTCTAACCTTCTTAAAGAGCGTCATATTCTGCAACAAAGGGGTACCCCCCCAAATCTGAGGAACTACTGGATCTATGGTTGCAGACCCCAGGCCGTGCTCCACTGTCCCTAGTGTCCTTATGAATTTTCCTTACGAGTGTTAATACTACAAAGGAAACATATTGCTCAAGGCTTTGTAGTTGTATCTCTATCTCGACCAATCCACTAGGTGTATGCATCCAAATGATACATGTATAGCAGAAGTGCACCGATTTAAAGACCAGCTCTAGTTGTGACAAATTTTCTTGTTCTTTTTTTTAGATTGTGGTTCTTTTTCACTCAGGTACACTTGTTATGGTTTACACAATTAAATCTCGCTGTACTTGGCACTCCCTGCAACTCACACATTTATAGCATGTGATTCCCAAAGTCCGCAGTCTCTGGTCATCTTCTGTAGTATGTCCGCAGTCTCTGGTCATCTCCTGTACTGTGTCCGCAGTCTCTGGTCATCTCCTGTACTATGTCCGCAGTCTCTGGTCATCTCCTGTACTGTGTCCGCAGTCTCTGGTCATCTCCTGCACTGTGTCCGCAGTCTCTAGTCATCTCTTGTACTGTGTCCGCAGTCTCTGGTCATCTCCTGTACTGTGTCCGCAGTCTCTGGTCATCTCCTGTACTGTGTCCGCAGTCTCTGGTCATCTCCTGTACTGTGTTCGCAGTCTCTGGTCATCTCTTGTACTGTGTCCGCAGTCTCTGGTCATCTCTTGTACTGTGTCCGCAGTCTCTGGTCATCTCTTGTACTGTGTCCGCAGTCTCTGGTCATCTCCTGTACTGTGTCCGCAGTCTCTGGTCATCTCCTGTACTATGTCCGCAGTCTCTGGTCATCTCCTGTACTGTGTCCGCAGTCTCTGGTCATCGCCTGTACTATGTCCGCAGTCTCTGGTCATCTCCTGTACTGTGTCCGCAGTCTCTGGTCATCTCCTGTACTGTGTCCGCAGTCTCTGGTCATCGCCTGTACTATGTCCGCAGTCTCTGGTCATCTCTTGTACTGTGTCCGCAGTCTCTGGTCATCTCTTGTACTGTGTCCGCAGTCTCTGGTCATCTCCTGTACTGTGTCCGCAGTCTCTGGTCATCCCTGTGCTGTCTGCAGTCTCTGGTCATCTCCTGTACTGTGTCCGCAGTCTCTGGTCATCTCCTGTACTATGTCCGCAGTCTCTGGTCATCTCCTGTACTGTGTCCGCAGTCTCTGGTCATCGCCTGTACTATGTCCGCAGTCTCTGGTCATCTCCTGTACTATGTCCGCAGTCTCTGGTCATCTCCTGTACTATGTCCGCAGTCTCTGGTCATCTCCTGTAGTATGTCCGCAGTCTCTGGTCATCTCCTGTACTATGTCTGCAGTCTCTGGTCATCCACTGTAGTATGTCAGCAGTCCATTGGTTCAGAATTTTTTTTCCTGTTTTCCTCCTCTAAAATCTAGGTGCGTCCTATGGAGCTAAAAATACGATACTTCTAGTCTTCCCTCTGGGCTCGGTCTGTTTGGCCACTTGAGTGGCTGAGACATCACAAACACACAGGAATCGTATCATCACAGCACGTAGAGGTGCTGCAGCTGTATGCTGAGCTGTGCATGTATGGTTCAGTGTACATTATCTCTGACATGCAGGGAGAAGCATTTATGACCAATAGGGTCTCTTCAGTCATAAAAACCCTTCCTGTCAGCGATTTATTTTTTTACAGTTTAACTCCACTCAAAACTGATCAAGTTTTTTGATAAGGAACCATTTCTGATAAAAAAAACTAAACCCAATAGTAAAACATACCAAAATCCATGACACTGCTCCAGACCCCCACCTCTCAGACAATCTGTGAAATGTGTTTAGGAAGTGTGGTTACCTTGGATGGAGACAACATGTATTCAGCTGTCGGGTTGATAATGTAATAAACCATCAAGATGAGCCAGATTGGAGTACAACTCTCATCTTTTTATATTCTAACAAACTAAACCCAATACAAATAATTGAACACTCAATGGGGGTCTGTGGGGGCTTCTCAATTTTCAATTTAATTATTTTACAGCTGTTCAAATCAACACTGCAACCTGCCTGAAGGCAGCATTGTGGGATGAACAAGGCGCATAGAAAAAAAATGGACTTATAAGTGCTCTAGCGGTTAGCCTGGTTGATCTGTGCAGATTAACGCAGGTCTCTGGACATGGTGTGGAGAGAACTAAATGCCTCTATTACTAGTAAGGTCCACCAAAAGCCTTCATCCACACATCACTGCACATCTAGCCCCTTGTAACTCGGGGACACCTGACATGGGGAGGGGGCACAGTGTACCCACAATACACACCTGTCCAGCGTGTACTGTCTGGATGTATGGAAACAGAACTCCGCAGCACCCAGAGCACCCCAAGCTATTCCATATCGAGCATTATTCAAACAACCAAATGGCCCCTACAAAAAAAAAAAAACACAGTTACACATTGTAAATGGAATGTACAATCAGAGTCATAGGAAAGGGTTATTTGGGCTTGCAAACGTAGGTGGAAGCCAATATGCTTTGGCCCTAACACTTCAGAGCCACCGACAGTTGGTTATATTTAGCTTCCCTACTTTTGTCACTTTGGGAAGCAGTATACTTGATATGGGGAAGCATGGCACTCACTACTATTCCTCCCAGGTGAAGTTGCTGAACATGGCGGCTCAGACCAAAGCGCTGTCACATGGCAGGGTGAAAAATCTTAGCCCCATGTTAGCTCAAGCTAGGATGACTTGCAGGGGACTTACTTTCCTCGCTCCGGTCAGCAAACGGGATGGCGGCAGAGTTTAGGTAAACTAGGTTAATGCAGCTGTGAGGGCCAACTCTAAAATGAACCTGTCTGCTTGACCTGTTTTGTGCACTTTAAAGCAAATATTAGGAATTGTGTATATTAATAGTCTTACCCCCATCCCAGACACATTGGGCAGAAGGTTTCCCTCCGGTATTTCCACATCATCCATCAAAATCATACCAGTGGCAGAGGCTCTCAGAGAAAACTTCCCCTCAATTTTGGGGGTGGACAGACCCTTGGTTCCTCTCTCTATTAGAAAGCCACGAACTTTGCCATCTTCACACACTGCCCACACCACACACAGGTCTGCGATGGGGGAATTAGTGATCCTACAAAACAAGAAAAATTATAATAAATCTAAACACAGTTTAGAGAACTAAGTGATGTAAAGCTGATTATACACATCGCAGTTGGAGTGTACAATTACCTATACACATCGCAGTTGGACTGTACAATTACCTATACACATCGCAGTTGGACTGTACAATTACCTATACACATCGCAGTTGGACTGTACAATTATTATTATTATTATACAGTATTTATAAAGCGCCAATAGTTCGCTCAGCGCTGTACATTACAAAGGGGGACAGAACATGTGACAGAACAATACCAATACAATGCAAAACATGAGGGGATCGAGGGCCCTGCTCCTTGGAGCTTACAATCTAGGAGGGAGGGGATGGTGGCACAGGAGGAGATAGCTGTGGGGCATGGAGTGGTAGGAAGAGTGGAGGAGGTCGGCAAGTTAGCAGGGGGTGGGGTAGGCTTCCCTGAAGAGATGGGTTTTCAGGGTGCGCCTAAAGGAGAGGAGAGTAGGTGATAATCTGATTGGTTGGGGCAGGGAGTTCCAGAGGATGGGTGACACCCTGGAGAAGTCCTGGAGGCGGGCATGGGAGGAGGAGACCAGGGAACTAGAGAGAAGGAACAATTACCTATACACACTGCAGTTGGACTGTACAATTACCTATACACATCGCAGTTGGAGTGTACAATTACCTATACACATCGCAGTTGGAGTGTACAATTACCTATACACATCGCAGTTGGACTACCCACAATTAAGCAGTGCAGGAGCTTGCCTGATAGGATACAAATTGAATGGACTGATAAGGTAGGTCCTCACATTACACAGCTCTACATGGGATTGTATAATCAGACTATAATAAGTACAGACAGCTTTAAGCTGGCCAAAGATGGATCGACTGTCGGCTGATTCAGCAGGAGCCGTTTGAGATTCAATCTATTTATGAGCAGGTTGGTTGTTGATGAATCGACTTCAGTATATCCAGCCTGTTGGATGTTTTACATATGATTACTGCCAGCAGCTATAGCCACTAGCAGTTAACATTGTGTTCTGCTGGCCAGGAAGGCTCCCTCATGGCAGACATAATGCTGCAGAAGGGATTCAAGCGATCTTCTTCCCTGCAAAATCGCATCATCTATGGCTTGCCAATATAATTCAACATTATTATCCAATGTAATGCCAGGTGCAACTAAAACTAATCTAATGGACCTTTTTATTTCAGCAAGTGGGGTGCATAAAAAAAAAAACAAAACAGATTCCTCCATCTCCATTATCAAGGTGAACAGTGGAGTCCTCCCTGCTGGGACCTTGTATTCTGACAGCAGGGACTCTGCTCACAGAACATACTGATCAGTGGCTGCAGCCGCTGATCAAGAAAAGTTTCCAACAAGCCCAGAAGTCAGTTGTTAGATCGACCTGTGTTGAGTGAGAGCGGACACACATGTATCAAAAGTCCCTGCTGAACTAGGCACATTTTGATTCGATCAGCAATTGTCTGAGACATTCTATCTGGTCTCTGGGAAACCATTGTGTAGCTTGTGGTGGTAAAAGCTGGCCATAGATGCATCCGAATTCAGCCAGATTAGCTGGCATTGGCTGAATTGTGATTGACTTTTGTCGAACAGCATGGTGGAAAATTCTTCTCGATCAGCCCATTGCTGCGCTAATCAGTGTGTTCTGACGGTGGAGGAGTCCCGCTGTCAGAATACAATAGCACAGTGGGGGGGATTCCTTCATTCACCTTGCTTATATGGATGGAGGACGCTGTGCGTTTTTTTTAATTCAATTGACCAAATAAAAACAAAAACCCAAAACAATCCATCTATGGAAAAAAATTATTATAATACATTTCTGGAATACATGCACATTTCCCCATGTCCTTACAAAGTTGCAAGTACAGGAAATACCTGTTTATCTGCCAGAAATCCAGTAAGCTTTTGAATTCTTACTTGAACTGACAACACAGTGCTTCTGTTGCACTGAAATTCTCAGCAGTGTTGTAAGCCCTGCCCAGTTCTCTTCTGTTGGACTACAGAACACCTCCATCACCCTCATCTCTGTAACATAACAGGGACATATTATGCAGTTTGACAAGGCAGAACATTGATTGAGACATCAGTGCTGCATCACTTATCTGCACAGAGTTTACAGAGTACTCTTTGCGTGGATTTCCCAAACTTTAACCGCTTCCCACCCGTAATTTCCTTATGTGGGGGTTCTCTCATTCTGGGAGGACGTCATATGACATCCTCCCACTCTAACCGCGCGTGTGCACCACGGGGGCGCGCAGCGATCGGTGGTGCGCTGTGTCCCTGGGACACAGCAGATCACCCATCAGCGGAAAGAGCTGAAGACATCGGCTCTGTCATGTGATCAGCTGTGTCCAATCACAGCTGATCGCATGTAAATAAGGTAATGCTGGTTATCGCCATTCCTCTCCTCACGAGCTGTCACACTGACAGAGGAGAGCCGGTAATCGGCATTACTTAGAGGGGACATGTACACTGATCATCAGGGCACTGATGATCAGTGTGCCCTGCAGAGCAGTGTAGCCCCATCAGTGCTACCTGTCAGTGCCCATCAATGCCAACTGCCAGTGCCACATATCAGTGCCTACCAGTGCACATCAATGTCACATATCAGTGCCCATCTGAGCTGCCTTTCAGTGCGACCTATCAATGCTAGTCAGTGCCGCCTATCAGTGCTGCCAATCAGTGCCAGTCAGTGCCACCTATCAGTGCCAGTCAGTGCCGCCTATCAGTGCCGCCTAACACTATCAGTCAGTGCCACCTATCAGTGCCATATATGAGTGCTACCTTTCAATGCCCATCAGTAATGCCTGTCAATGCCCATCAGTGCCACCTATCAGTGCCGCCTATCAGTGCAGCCTATCAGGGCCCATCACTGGAGCCTCATTAGCACACATCAGTGAAGGAGAAAAATCACTTATTTACAAAATTTTATAACAGAAACTAAGAAAAAACTTTTTTTCCCCAAAATTTGGAAAGCGCTGTCTCCAAAAATGATAAAAATGTCATATGGGTACAGTGTTGCATGACCGCGCAATTGTCATTCAAAGTGCGACAGCGCTGAAAACGGAAAACTGGCCTGGGCAGGAAGGGGGTATAAGTGCCCGGTAGGCATGTGGTTAAAGATATGCTGATAGGAGATTGGGCTCCTGTTTAATATTTGTCCTTGTATGATATTCTACTGAGCATGTCCAAGATGCCTGCCTCACCATCTGCCCCAACAGCAGATAAAGTGGTTTAAGTCCCCAGGGAAAAAAAGCATTCTAGAAAACTAAAATAAAATGAATTAATTAGGAGATCACTGGATTTCTGGCAGATTGATGGGTATTCTTCTGTATTTGCAAAATTTTTAAAGCTTTGCAAAGGTGAACTGAATGTTTTTGGTTTTTTTTGCCCTGACTTTAAGCCCAGGTTCATACCGATGCAACTTGTCATGCGATTTGACAGTGTCAAATCGCATGACAAGTAGCACCCTATCGTCAGTAATGGAACCGTCCAAAACAGACGCTGACTTTGCGGTGCACTATATTTTGCAATTTCAGGTGCGACTTACATAGACGTCCGTGAATGAAGTCACACAGATGTCATCCAAGTTGCACCTAAAATCACATTGACATGTGGCTTTGAAATCGTGCAATCTTACAGCGGAGTTCCACTCATCCTGTCAAAAAATAAAAGTCAGCAGCTACAAAAACTGTAGCTGCTGACTTTTAAAAACAGCCACTTACCTGTCCCTCAGTCCCGTGGTGTTCTCCCCGCAGCCCGTTTCACCCGCCGTCCTGTATTCCAGGAGGTCGCCATCTTCAGTGTGGGCACCCGGCTGTGATAGCTTGCGGCTTCACAGCCGGGTGCCCACTGCACATGTGCGAGAAACGCCGCGCTTCATGAAAGGTCCTGTAGTCTTCTGGGACCTGTCACGTGTCCCAAAAGACTATAGGGGGGAGGGAGGACACCGGAAGTGGGAGCGGGTACCTGTCAAATTCGGGTACCCGCTCCCCAAAGGTGCCAATCCTTAATGGGGAGCGGGGGGGGGGAGCAGTCCTTAAAGCGGCACGTCCCCTTTTAGGTGGAGCTCTGCTTTAAGTGAGGTCACGAAATTTCAAAATCGGATCCAGTGTGAACAGGGCTGTATTAGATTCCAAATCTAATTGGCCTGTGTATTATATTATTATCTATCCTTGATAGAAAAAGATGTTGAAATCAGATTGTCCAGGTTCCCTGACATGCAGTGTTGGTTGCAGGTATGACTGGGGTGGCTGTACCAGGTTTTGGATCCGTTGAGTGTGTAGGTTTTGCTGGTCGGGTTGTATCGTGCTCTGGTCTCCATTCCACCCGGGTCACTGCCATGATTTGGTTCTGTAAGTCCAAAACAGCCCAGCAACTCTCCTCTTGCTGCATTAAAAAAGACAGATAGTTAACACAGCAACACAGACTCCCATCGCTGGGGCAAATAGAGAACCATTGTGTCCTTTGTGCCCAGTTCACACTGCAATGCAGCCGCATCTCAACTGCATCTCATCTTGCAGCAGCACAACACACTGCGCAGATAAATGAATGAATGGTCACCGCACTAATAAACTGACAGCTGTGTGAATGAGCCCTGAATGGGTGGAGGAAATGCTGACATTCATCTGCTCCTCCATTCACAAAACTGGATGCTCTGTGATAGTAATAATACAGGTTCTATGAATAGAGGAGGGGGCGGGAAGGGCAATTTTGTAAGTAGTAGCAGCTTCTGTTAAAGTGTTACTAAACCCACAACAGTACAATCAGTCTGTATATGCAGTAAAGCATGCTTGTTATACTCCCTGTGGAACCTAAGGGATTAATCCTCCGCATTGTGTAAAAAGGCTGTTTGATCCTGACTTCTCTGCCCCTCCTCTTGTTCAAATGTCCACGCTGGTAAAACAGACTGAGTACGTAGCCCTTTTGCACATGCTCAGTTTAGTGTGCATTACTAGAGAGTTTTTTTTTTTTTCTTGGGAGAGTGCATGTGATCAGCACAGGGCCAATTAGCGCTGTCCAGACAGAGGTCAGGGGTTCTGCATCCTCCTAGAGCAGAAAGAAAACTCCTCCTACAAGCTTTAACCAGTGCTCTGCTGAAGTCACAAGACTGCTCTAACGGCTGATGAGACAGGGTATTTAGCAGTTTAAAATTACTAAAATAATTGCATTTCCATGTTGTGTGTACTGTGGGAGACCAGATATAGTCAAAGCAGGGTCCGGGGAGACCACATATAGTGAGTGCAGGGTCCGGGGAGACCAGATATAGTGAATGCAGGGTCCGGGGAGACCAGATATAGGGAATGCAGGGTCTGGGGAGACTGGATATAGTGAATGCAGGGTCCGGGGAGACCGGATATAGTGAATGCAGGGTCCGGGGAGACCGGATATAGTGAATGCAGGGTCCGGGGAGACCAGATATAGTGAATGCAGGGTCCGGGGAGACCACATATAGTGAGTGCAGGGTCCAGGGAGACCATATATAGTGAATGCAGGGTCCGGGGAGACCAGATATAGGGAATGCAGGGTCCAGGGAGACCAGATATAGTGAATGCAGGGTCCGGGGACACCAGATATAGTGAATGCAGGGTCCGGGGAGACCGGATATAGTGAATGCAGGGTCCGGGGAGACCGGATATAGTGAATGCAGGGTCCGGGGAGAGCAGATATAGTGAATGCAGGGTCCGGGGAGACCAGATATAGTGAATGCAGGGTCCAGGGGAGACCAGATATAGTGAATGCAGGGTCGGGGGGGAGACCAGATATAGTGAATGCAGGGTCCAGGGAGACCAGATATAGTGAATGCAGGGTCCTGGAAAGACCGGATATAGTGAATGCAGGGTCCGGGGAGACCAGATATAGTGAATGCAGGGTCCTGGGGAGACCAGATATAGTGAATGCAGGGTCCTGGGGAGACCAGATATAGTGAATGCAGTGTCCGGGGAGACCAGATATAGTGAATGCAGGGTCCAGGGAGACCAGATACAATGAATGCAGGGTCCGGGGAGACCAGATACAGTGAATGCAGGGTCCTGGGAGACCAGATATAGTGAATGCATGGTCTGGGGAGACCCCAAATAGTGAACGCAGGGTCCGGGGAGACCAGATACAGTGAATGCAGGGTCCTGGGAGACCAGATATAGTGAATGCATGGTCTAGGGAGACCCCAAATAGTGAACGTAGGGTCCGGGGAGACCAGATACAGTGAATGCAGGGTCCGGGGGGAGACCAGATACAGTGAATGCAGGGTCCGGGGAGACCATATATAGTGAATGCAGGGTCCTGGGAGACCAGATATAGTGAATGCAGGGTCCTGGGAGACCAGATATAGTGAATGCAGGGTCCGGGGAGAACATATATAGTGAATGCAGGGTCCGGGGAGACCAGATACAGTGAATGCAGGGTCCGGGGAGACCAGATACAGTGAATGCAGGGTCCGGGGAGACCAGATACAGTGAATGCAGGGTCCGGGGAGACCAGATATAGTGAATGCAGGGTCCGGGGAGACCAGATATAGTGAATGCAGGGTCCGGGGAGACCAGATATAGTGAATGCGGGGTCCGTGGTTTAGTAACACTTTAACCTACACGGTACCAGAGGAAAGCTGCTCAGCACAATGTCTGGCAGCTGTTACAAAGACACTGCAGGAAGATTTTTTATCAGAAGCAGCCAACTTCAGTTAAGCCTCATGCACACAGGACACTTAGACGTACATTCGTAGGAGGGCCGTGTAAACTTCAACTTTAGGAGTTTAAAACTTAGCAAAGTAAAGTCAATTCTGATCATACACACAGCAGTTTCACATTGCAAAAGCAATCCAAGTGATCAACCCAGACCCATCCCTGCCTCGTAGATATAAATATACATATATATATACAGTTGCAAGAAAAAGTATGTGAACCCCTTGGGATTTTGTGGAGTTTTGCATGAGTTGGGCATAAAATGTGCTCTGAACGTCATCTAAGTCACAACAATAGAAGAACACAGTCTGCTGAACATAATACTACACAAACATTAGATGTTGCCATGGTTTAATTGCACATAACATGTAAACATTCACAGTGCAGGAAGGAAAAAGTATGTGAACCTTTGGACTTAATAACTGGTTGACCCTCCTTTGGCAGCAATAACCTCAACCAAACGTTTCCTGTAGTTGCAGATCAGACCTGCACAACGATCTGGAGTAATTTTGGACCACTCCTCTTCACAAAACTGTTTCAGTGTAGCAATATTCTTGGGATGTCTGGTGTGAATCGCTCTCTTAAGGTCATGCCACAGCATGGTTCTCTCATTCTGGGAGGACGTCATATGACATCCTCCCATTCTAACCGCGCACGCAGCGCGGCGATCAGTGGTGTGCTGTGTCCCTCGGACACAGCGGATCACCGATCAACGGAAAGAGCTGAAGATGTCGGCTCGGTCATGTGATCAGCTGTGTCCAATCACAACTGATCACATGTAAACAGGGAAATGCCGGTTATCTGCATTTCTCTCCTCACCAGCTGTCACGCTGACAGGAGAGGAGAGCCGGTAATCGGCATTCCTCGGAGGGGACATGTACACTGATCATCAGAGCACTGATGATCAGTGTAGCCCCAGCAGTGCCACCTGTCAGTGTCCATCAGTGCCAGCTGTCAGTGCTCATCAATGCCACCTGCCAGTGTCCATCAGTGCCACATCAATGCCACATATCAGTGCCTACCAGTGCATATTAATGTCACATATCAGTGCCCATCTGAGCTGCCTTTCAGTGTCACCCATCAGTTCCAGTCAGTGCCACCTATCAATGCCAGTCAGTGCCACCTATCAGTGCCAGTCAGTGCTGCCTGTCAGTGTGCATCAGTGCTGCCTATCAGTGCCCGTCAGTGCTGCCTATCAGTGCCGCCTATCAGTGCAAGTCAGTGCCGCCTATCAGTGCCATATGAGTGCTGCCTTTCAGTGCCCATCAGTGATGCCTGTCAATGCCCATCAGTGCCACCTACCAGTGCCTCCTCATCAGTGCCACCTATCAGTGTCCATCAGTGCAGCCTATCAGTGCCCATCACTACAGCCTCATTAGCGTTTTTTTTCTTCAAAATTTTCTGTGGTTTTTTTGTTTGTTTAAGAAAAAATAAGAAAAATGATAAAATACCACCAAAATAAAGCTCTATCTGTCACAAAAAAATGATAAAAATTTCATATGAGTACAGTGTTGCATGACCGTGCAATTGTCATTCAAAGTATGACAGAGCTGAAAGCTGAAAATTGGCCTGGGCAGGAAGGGAGTATAAGTGCCCGGTAGGCGAGGGGTTAATCTAGCAGAATGTTTACTAGGATGTGGGATGAAACTGCAGAACTAAATGGAAGCCAATGCACAGGAGAACACTCAGTATTGGTAAGAAGGAGAGACAAGAGTAGACGTAATTGTGTTACACTATAATAAAGTACAGATGCTACAACATCCTGACACAAGGATGTTACAACACCTAAAATGTATACTGAAAGTCATGATCTGAGCGCCCTTACCCAGCCTGGGCAGATATTTCTGTTTCTGTTCCTCTGAGCCATAGGCAGCGATTGGATGCATAACTAACGAGGACTGAACACTCATCACTGAGCGATAGCTGCTGTCCACCCTCTCCACCTCCCTCGCCAAGAGCCCATACGCCACATAGGAAGTCCCGGCACAACCGTAACCTGGAGAGAGCAGGGAGAAAAATGCAAGAAATGTGATTCATTTGTCACTTCTTCTAAGGCAGGAAACTCTGGCCCGTGGGCCGGAAGTGGCCCTTTGCTTCTCTTTATCTGACTCTTGGGGTACTATTCCTCCCACTGATACTAATGATGGGGCACTATTCCTTCCATTGATACTAATGATGGGGTACTAGTCCTCCCACTGATACTAATGATGGGGTTCTAGTCCTCCCACTGATACTAATGATGGGGTGCTAGTCCTCCCACTGATACTAATGATGGGGTTCTAGTCCTCCCACTGATACTAATGATGGGATACTAGTCCTCCCACTGATACTAATGATGGGATACTAGTCCTCCCACTGATACTAATGATGGGGTTCTAGTCCTCCCACTGATACTAATGATGGGGTGCTAGTCCTCCCACTGATACTAATGATGGGGTGCTAGTCCTCCCACTGATACTAATCATGGGGTACTAATCCACCTACTGATACTAATGATGGGGTACTAGTCCTCCCACTGATACTAATGATGGAGTACTAGTCCCCCCACTGATACTAATGATGGGGTACTAGTCCACCCACTGATACCAATGATGGGGTACTAGTCCTCCCACTGATACTAATGATGGGGTACTAGTCCCCCCACTGATACTAATGATGGGGTGCTAGTCCTCCCACTGATACTAATGATGTGTACTAGTCCTCCCACTGATACTAATGATGGGGTACTAGTCCTCCCACTGATACCAATGATGGGATGCTAGTCCTCCCACTGATACTAATGATGGGGTGCTAGTCCTTCCACTGATACTAATGATGGGGTGCTAGTCCTCCCACTGATACTAATGATGGGGTACTAGTCCTCCCACTGATACCAATGATGGGGTGCTAGTCCTCCCACTGATACTAATGATGGGGTACTAGTCCCCCCACTGATACTAATGATGGGGTGCTAGTCCTCCCACTGATACCAATGATGGGGTACTAGTCCTCCCACTGATATGAATAGTTTGGACCCAGAGCTTGCCATCACGCATGCGTCTGATTACCTGTGCCACGCTGCGCACACAGATGGGACTCTGTGGCAAAACAGCATCTTTAATTAAGCATTATCATTATATTTTCTCTGTCATTACTTGTAATAAATGTTGTACTTATAAGTATTTGTGTGATCTCTCTTTGCATATATTGAATACAACCCCAAAACTGTAACAAAACGGGAAAAAAAACATAATTTTGAGTTGCTACCAGAACAGGAATATTGGGGAAATCTTCCATAGGGGACACTTGTTCCAGTGACAGCTGAGGTGTTACGGCACGCATTGGAAAGATATCCTTTAACTTCCTGTTGAGGCTATAGAACAGGAAGTGAAGGAAAACTCCCTAATGAGACAAAAAGGTTTTATCATTTCCCTACTCTATCCAAAATCAAATGGAGAAAATAAACAGTTGTGGCTTTAATTGTACTTTAACCCCTTGACACCGACGTAACACAAATGTACGGCCTCACAGAACTGCGCTTTTTTCCATGGGGCCGCATATTTGCGTACCTGTCCTTGTGCTGGGAGCGCGCCACACTGCGCACTCCCAGCACAAAGACCGCGGTGTCACTGAGAGCCCCAGGTCCCATTCTAACGATCGGGACCCAGGACTCCCGATTCCAGGTCATATGATCGGTGTGATAGCCTCTGATTGGCTATCACAGTGATCAGTCACTGCGCAGCCCGGCCCCCTTGTTTTTTTCTCTCTCTATGAATGGAGAAGAGAGATACATTGTATCTCTCTAACTCCTGGCATAGAGAGAAAAAAAAAATGTTTGTAAAAAAGAAAAAGAAAAAAAAAAAAAAGATAAATAAATAAATATTAAAAAATAAAAGAAAAAATAAATAAAAATAACTAGATCAAGGTTTGATCTAGTTCAGTGCCAGGGTTAGTGTTTGGGTCAAGGTCAGGGTCAAAGGTCAGGATTTAAAAAAAAATTGGGTGTTAGTGTCACTGTGTTTTATGTAAAAAAAAAAGAAGAAAAAAGACAAAAACAAAATGCGCACTGTTATTTCTGGGCTGTACTCCGGGTACAAACAACAAATAACATACACATATATATGGTATCACTGCGATCGTCAAGAGCTGGAAAAATTATTTTGGGTTGTTCTTTGGTGGTAGGTTATGGTAGTAACAAGAAACACACAGCTAAATAACAAAAAAATATTTTTTTTTTACTATTTTGGGCCAGTTTTCTTTTGATATTAAAATAAAATAAGGAGATCTCCATTACCATTTACCACCAAATGAAAGCCCAATTTGTCCTATAAAAACGCGCTATAATCCACCTGGATGTACAAAGTAGTGGTGATTATATGTACGGTTTTACTAACACATGTCAACGTTGCAAAATTGTTCTTAGGTATTTAGATTTATTTTACCCCTTAGGCGTGAAGGGGTTAATCATATACTGTTAATTTGTAAAAATACAAAGACTGTATGGTAAAAAAAAACTGATATAAAAATCACTTAAAAACCTATAAAGCGAAAAAAAAAACACACTAGGCAAAATTGACCTACAACTATTCTATCTTCCCTTTATGTGTTTGAATTAATTAGAAACATCATGATTATTACACATTACAGTAATATTATTTACTATACTTACACTCCATTGTTATATGACATTACAAATATTCATTACCTTTAATTGTAGATCCCAGGACACCCAGCTCTCCCATCTCAGATATAATCTCCCTATCAAATGCTGGATACAAGAAGAAAAAGCAGAATAAAATGAATGTTTTTCAGGTTTCCTGAATCAATAGTAGGACCATATACATCATTCACCCAGTCCCAGACCCAGTCACATGTTCATTATTGTGAAAACTAAAACCAGGACACGCCACTGGCATCAGTATTGTTTTTACATTTTATATTCAACTGGACAGCGCAGTCTACCAAACGAGTCGACAGGAAAACTGAAAATGGCTGCAGGTTATTTGGGTAATAAAGAGTCTTGTAACTCCTCTCGAGTGTCTGTAAACCCCTCTTTCTTTTGGTTCCTCAATTTACTCAAAAGAGAGATGGTCCGGGAAAAGCTCTGTCCCTTTCCAACACATGTTCTATAGGCCGGCAATTTAAAGGGTGACAGTGCTGGCTCGTAGGAAAGTCCAGGTAATGAAAAGGGGTAAGCCCTGTACCCTATGACTACGTGCATTGCACGAAACGCATCAGTGGCCATCCTGAATTCCCATTATACGGTCAATGTTTTATTTCACTTTGTCATTGCACTTTTCATTCGATAGAATAAAGTTCCCTATGGTATCACGCTATGTGGTCTCCTTTATTGGTCCCTATTCATGAGGGACATTCGCAGAGGCTGCATTAAGGGTGACCCCCTATGGTGATACGCATCAAGGACCCCTGAGTACTCCATGCAGATGTGACTGGGAAGTATCCTGACCTGACCTGATCTGGGAGGCGGATGACCTAAACTATACCTATTGAGATAGGTTATGTCTCAAATGCGTGTTTACACGCACTTCTGGTGAGTGCGCATTTCATTTACATTGAATATCTGCCACTTGGACGAACTCTCCACGCATGCTTATTGGGATCATAAAGGATCCTCATGTGGGCAATACATCTGGGACTTTTTTTTGCACTTTACTCACCTATTGGTGACATCATTTATGCACATCTATTTATATTTGTTTATTTTCTTGATTGATCTGGTATTGCTGATTATCTAGACCTACACACTGAGTATATGTTATATCGATTTATTCATGCTACACAGTTTTTAAAGCTGCACCTTCTCATTTCCTTATAATAATGATGAGATTTATGCTGCATATTTAGTTTTAAGCGCTGCACCTTCATATTGAGATTTGCATTGGAAGGTTCTGTTTGGTTGCCTTTTTAGGTGTTTCAGCGGCTATTTTTCTTTCAGATAGCGCTCGCATATTAACTTTTTACATAAAGCTTTATGGAGCACCACGGGATTATACAAGTAGACTGCATTCTCTTGACTACTTTGGATTATAATGCAAAATAGCTGATTAAGATTAAAATTTAATTCCACCTTTCTTATCGTGTTTCACGTTCCACCCAGATTTTCGTTGTAACATGAAACATGGTCAGAACCTGCAGCTCCTGAACCCCAAACCTCCCCTTACTGAATCTCAGGGTTCTTCTTCTCCCCACAGGCTCCTATAATCTTTATTTTTTAATTCAGCATTTCTCCAGCTGCATCATCCATTCACAGAGACAGAGATCACAGACAAGCCCCAACTGCCACTGCGGACTCACGGTTCTCTCAATTGAGTATGAGTGAGGTGGCATCACTGGACCTGTAGTCCTATGATACTTCCTTCAGGCTACTGTCATTTTTTTTTTAAATGCTTAGATTGTAAGCTCCAAGGATCAGGCCCTCCTAACCCTCTTGTATTGAACTGTTTTGTTGCTGTATTGTCTCTGCCCATACAGCTGCATCATCCATTTACAGACACAGAAATCACAGACAAGCCCCAACTGCCACTGTGGACACACAGTTCTCTATATTGAGCATGAGTGCGGTGGCATCAATGGACCTGTAGTCCTATGAAACTTCCTCCAGGCTCCTGTAATTTGTTTTTCTTTTATTCAGAGTGGCTCTGCCCACACAACTGCATCATCCATTCACAGACATAGAAATCACAGACATGCCCCAACTGCCACTGCAGACTCACAGTTCTCTCAATTGAGCATGAGTGTGGTGGCATCAATGGACCTGTAGTCCTATGATACTTCCTCCAGTCATTTTTTTTTTTTCAATTCAGTGTGGTTCCACCTACACAGCTGCACCATCCATTCACAAACACAGAAATCACAGACAAGCCCCAGCTGCCACTGCAGACTCATAGTTCTCTCAATTGAGCATGAGTGTGTGGTGGCATCAGTGGACCTGTAGTCCTATGATACTTCCTCCAGGCTACTCTAATTTTTTTTTTTAATGCTTAGATTGTAAGCTCCAAGGATCAGGCCCTCCTATCCTCTTGTATTGAACTGTATTGTTGCTGTATTGTCTCCCTTTATATTGTAAAGTGCTGAGCAAACTGTTGGCGCTATATAAATCCTGTATAATAATAATTCAGCGTGGCTCCGCCCATACAGACACAGAAATCACAGACAAGCCCCAACTGCCACTGCGGACTCACAGTTCTCTCAATTGAGCATGAGTGTGTGGTGGCATCAATGGACCTGTAGTCCTATGATACTGCCTCCAGGCTCCTGTAATTTTTTTTTCTTTTATTCAGCGTGGCTCTGCCCACACAACTACATCATCCATTCATACACACAGAAATCACAGACATGCCCCAACTGCCACTGCGGACTCACAGTTCTCTCAATTGAGCATGAGCATGGTGACATCACTGGATTTATGGTCCTATGATACTTCCTCCAGCCCTGTAACTAAAGGTCCATACCTCAGTACGGACAGTAGGACTGGAGTATTGATGAGATACAAAGGTGGTGCAGTGTAGGCTCAGGATGATGGATTATTTAGGTAGGCCATTAGACCATGAAGGAGCAGATGATGAAACACACCTTCCTGCCGATTAGCCATGAGGATTCTGGGCATCAGCTTCTCCTGACAGTAAGCTCGGAAGCTGTCTCTAATCATGATCTCATCCTCTGTCAGCTGGGAGTCCAGGGAGAGAGCGTCCCGCCAGTCAAACTGCGTCTGGGCTGAAATGAATCACAATACATACATGACATATAGAAAGAGAAATTATATGCCTGAGAAGAAAAAAAGAGCTAAACTGCATGTGACCACGTATGACCCCCCATATGAACTGTTGTAGCTTCCAGAAGAATTATAATTCTGTTCAGCCAGTCTTGTGATCTAGATACCCCTGCCAGACAGCAGACCAGCCAGATCTCCACTGCAGCCACACACTTAGGTCAAAAACACCATCCCAAATTATGTATACATCATAAAAGGTATAAGAACAGAAAACATAAGAAAGTATCTGTCTTTTTAACTGAGCAATGAAGGAACAACAGCACACCGATGACATCATCACTCTGCTGTCTCCTGATGACAGTGCATGTGTGGTTGAATAACAGCCCTGATTGGCTCCTGGTGCTGCCCCCATCCCTCTACAGTGAATTACAGGAGTTCCGATTTAAAAGATCCTGTCCCTGACTTAAAAAATGGCATCTAAAAACACATAAAATTCAAGTATTTTACATTCTTATTGGTAATGTTTTCCTATCCAAATATAATTTTTGGTTCACTTGCAATGTGCCTCTGAACTTGCTAGAAAAGGCTAGAAATGGTGCATTCTCTGATTGAATGAGGTGATAAGTGTGACATCACCGTCCCAACTCTCCACCTCATCCAATCAGAGAAAATGTGTTCATTGAGAAAATGCAAAGCATTCTCTGAATGGTGCCTGTACCAAGCGGCTGACCTCCTGTGTTCTGTAAGCAGTAGGGTAGCCGCTTGGCACGGGACCCAGAAACAAGTGGAGATCATCAGAGTAGAGGTGTCTGCTACAGTGATTTCCAGCTTCTAGAGGGATCCCACAGGTATGGTATATGCAGAGTTATATTGGTCCAAGTCGAATTAATGTAACTGTAAAAATACCACAGATGAGGGAAGTCCCCTATGTGCTTACCAACATCCCTGTTATAGGTATATATACAACAAAAGTTCCCTCCAATTTATTGGACTTTATAGGCAAATTGAAAATAAATTTAAAAATTGAAGAATATTCCTTATTATGATTATATCCTACAAATGATGGGACATTACAAATATATCTACACAGCATTGTTACATAATAGACTTGTTTCAAAAATTAAAATACAAATGAATGTTCTGTGTTTGCAGAGACTCTGAATGAATGCCCAACGCGTTTCGGAGACAATAGCTCCTTCTTCAGGGCTGACTTTGCAGACCGGTATGATCTGTAGCAAGATTAAGAATATATATATTTAGAACATACCTAATGCAATCTGCATGTTGTATATAATTCTATATCTGAATTGTCAACATACAGATTGCATTAGGTATGTTCTAAATATATCTTCTTAACCTCGCTACAGATCATACTGTATTGTCTGCAGAGCCATCCCTGAAGAAGGAGCTAGTGTATCTGAAACGCGTAGGGTACTCATTCAGAGTCTCTGCAAACACAGAACATTCCTTTGTATTGTCATTTTTGAAACCAGTCTACTATGTAACAATACCGTGCGGATATATCGTAATTTGTAATGTTCTACAACTTGTAAGATATAATCATAATAAAGAATATTTTGCAATTTTTACATTTGTTTTCAATTTGCCTATAAAGTCCCACAAAATGGGGGCAATTTTGCTGTATATATTTCTGTAAAAATACCAGTGCCTGGAATTCTCCTTTAAATCTGCCTCAAAATTAAGATTTATTTGTGGTTTAGTTGCAATGAAAAAAAAAATCATACAGTTACACTTCTTAAAAAATAAATAAATAAATATATATATATATATCTATATTTCATGATAACATCAAAATGATCTGAACACATATGCCTAATAATATGGACAGTACAAGTTATGAAAATAAAGAGGATTTACGTTTTGCCTTTTTCTTCTCATTCTGTACTCCGGCATCTGGGGGAATGAATGCATACATAACATTTTTAGTAACAGAAGCTGTTTGCAGGTTACAGGGAATCCTTGTATAGCAGAAAAGCAGCATCCACACCACTGTCTGAGAGTCCCAATGTGTTTCATATACAGGTGTACCTCGGTTTTACGAACGCCTCGGTTAACGTCATTTTTGGTTTACGAATGAAAATTCATCGAAAATAATGGCTCGGTTTACGAATTTTTTTTCGCAATACGAACGGATTGGATTAATTGGCTTCCAATGCATTTATGATTTTTTTAATCATGTCCCTGTACAGTATTTATGCCTTTAAAGTGTGCTTTATAAAGAGTTCTGAACAGATAACACTTTTTTGACCTTTTTCTCTCCTCTGGAACGGATTAATTGGTTTTCAATGCATTTATGAATTTCTTTTTAATCATGTCCCTTTATGCCTTTAAAGTGCACTTTATAAAGAGTTTTTAACAGATAAAACTTTTTTTGACTTTTTTTTGACCTCCGGAACGGATTAATTGGTGTTCAATGCATTTACGAATTAATTCTTGATCATGTCCCTGTACAATATATATACCTTTAAAGTGCACTTTGTAAAGAGTTCTGAAGAGATAAAAGACTTTTTTTACTTTTTTCTGACCTCTGGAACAGATTAATTGGTTTTCAATGCATTCCAATGGGAAACCGCTTTTCAGTTTACAAATTTTTCGCAATACGAAAAGTCCCACCGAACAAATTAAAATTGTAAACTGAGGTACGCCTGTAAATCCAAAAAGACAAGCCGACATGTTTCAGGTGTACTGAAGGGCTTTCTTCATCATTGCTAAATGTGCTGACTGAGACCATGTTGGGGCTCAAAAGATTCAAACATAGAAAAGGTTTTACTAGAAAGCAGCTGGTTAACTTGCCTTGATAACATTTGGTTTATCTTTTAGGATTTTATGATACTCCTTTTCACTGCCAAAGCCACTTTTGAATTTTTTGCATGTGTAAAAAATGATTTTTGGCCTGCGGGTTAGTTAAGAATGCAATGGTGCTAGTGGCAGTTCTTACATCCACATGATATTAGATTGTAAGCTCCAAAGATCAGGCCCTCCTATCCCTCTTGTATTGAACTGTATTATTGCTGTATTGTCTCCCGTTATATTGTAAAGCGCTGAGCAAATTGTTGGCGCTATATAAATCCTGTATAATAATAATATATAAATCCTGTATAATAATAATAATATATAAATCCTGTATAATAATAATAATATATAAATCCTGTATAATAATAATAATATATAAATCCTGTATAATAATAATAATATATAAATCCTGTATAATAATAATAATATTAGCACAATGGTTTGTCGTGCAAAATTTTAGTAAAACATACAGTTATTTTAGGGCGCACAAACACAATACATTAATCAATTCTTGTTAAAATATAAAAGATGAGGTTGCGCCAAACAAATAGATACCCAACATGTTAAAGTGTTACTAAAGCCAAATTTTTTTTTTAATGAAAATAACAAACAAGTTATACTTACTAGCCCTGTGCAGTGGTATTGCACAGAGTGGCCCCCGATTCACCTCTTCTTGTGTCCTCTGCTGGCGATCTTGGCTCTTCTTTGTGTGTCCCCCTAGCAAGCCGTTTGCTATGGAGGCGTGCGGTGTCTGCTTGCTCTACGGAGCTGCGCTCTATAGACTCAAACACCGCAGGACTTAGCCCCGCCCCCACATTTCCTTTTCACTGCATTTGATTGACAGTGCTTCTTGAGTGCTGTGTGAAGGGGAAGAGAGGGGAGAAGAGATGGAGCCATGCACAGCGCTGGATCTCTTCTCCCCTCTCTTCCCCTTCACACAAGGACGTGGGGGGGAGCAGAGAAATAGAAAATATTTTTTTACCTTTTTGCAAGGAATGCAATAATTTTTAGCTTTAGTATCCCTTTAAGCCTTAAAATTGTGTGCGCCCCATGTCAAACTTACAGTACCCTAAATTTTCCAAAGGTAAGTGAAAATCTCCTACAGGTCATCAGTTTATAGTTACCAATGAATAACTGGCCTAAAAATATTCTTCTCACTGAGGTGCGTGGAGATATGTAACATGGGAAGCGCAATTAATGGTTTTGTGCGTAGGCAAATCTGGTGCGCGTGGTTGTATGTGGGGCTTAAAACGTTTTGGGGAATTAGATGTTAGAGTGTAACTTCTTTTTTTTCACGCAGGGGAGAAAAATGTTTTTTTTTTTTGTGATAGGTTCTCTTTAAAGAGGCGTCAGTGGCCCCACCACGAAAGTCCCATTTTGGACAATGGAAGTGCGCAGGTGGGGGTTTGGGGCACTTGGGATTGGGCGAGGCGGGCTGGGCAGGGGTGGCGAATGTACATCTGCTTAATCCCTATCACCGGACATCCAATGACATCATGACATGCCTGATGAAGGGGTCCTGCGCAGCGTCGAAACGTCGCACTTTCTTTTGTGATTTGATCTTTTGCAATAAAAACCTCTTTGGACCATATTGGAGATCTGTGGCGTGCTGGCGAATATGTGTGTGTAAAATCCTCTGCTGTTGCTGCTGACATATAACATACATTGGTGGCAGCGCCTGCTCTCAGGTCTGCTGGATTGGGGGGGGCAAGGTAGCATTTGGCATCTAAAGAATAATGACTTGATATACACTGCATGTGGGGAAAAAATATAATCTGAATTTTAGGGCTGTGATGGTTTTAGCTACATAGGGGATTGCACAGATTCTGGCATCTGTGGGTCTGCTGTTATTTATTGACACCAGGAGGGAGTCCATAACCTGCATGAAGCCCTATTGTGCCCCCTTCTGGTAACACAGAGAATTGTGCCAATCGCACAAATCCCATTCTTTTACTTATCCTAAGAAACCATCAAGAAAAGTCATGCTTTCGGCTAAATTTATGCAGCATTGTGGCTGACGTTATTTATTTATTTTATTTATTTCAAGTATATATATATATATATATATATATATATATATATATATATATATATATATATATATATATATATATATATATAGGTTTTCCTCCCACACTCCAAAGACATGCTGGTAGATGCATTGGTTCCTGTCTAAATTGGCCCTAGTATGTGTATGTAAGTTAGGGACCTTAGATTGTACACCCTTTGAGGGTTAGGGACTGAACTTACATTCATACATCACATCACTGTCCTCAACTTCACCAAAATGCGCCCCTTCCTAGCCAATGACACCACTAAGTTTCTAATTCACTCCCTGGTCATATCTGGCCTCGACTACTGCAGCTCTCTCCTCATTGGATTACCTTTACATAGGCTATCTCCCCTCCAGTCCATTTTTTTTATTACAGGTACTTATATAGCGCCGTCAATTTACATAGTGCTTTACGGTACATATATATTGTACATTCACATCAGTTCCTAACCCTCAAGGGGCGTACAATCTAAGGTCCCTAACTCACATTCATACATACACATACTAGGGCCAATTTAGACAGGAGCCAATTAACCTACCAGCATGTCTTTGGAGTGTGGGAGGAAACCGGATTACCTGGAGGAAACCCTTGCAGGCACAGGGAGAACATGCAAACTCCAGGCAGGAGGTGCCGTGGTTGGGATTTGAACCAACGACCCTCGTACTGCCAGGCAGAAGTGCCAACCATTTAGCCACTGTGCTGCCCAGTTTAATCTACTTGTCTTCCCTAGTTCCCCTTTCATCAACGTGCTAATATAAATTTCAATAAAAACCTTTTTGATTTCCAACTATAAGCAAAATCAGAAGTTCAGAGCACTCCAGCCTAGGGCATTATCCATAGACCTTTTTATTGTAAAAATATAAATCCAATATACTCACAAATGTGAACAGCAGCAAGTATAAAAACAATCCAGCTTCAATGCTGGAACAATGCTCATCCAAAAAAGGGGGGTGGGGGGGGGGCGTAGCTTATGAGTTTCAAGGGTGATGCCCTCTTCATCAGAGCTCCTCCAGGGTATTACACACACTCCAGGCTGCAGCCAGGAAAAAAAGGTGTGCGAATCTGACAAGCCAGCTGTCAGAGGTAAGCAATCAGACGGCCCAATTGCTTCCAACCATTCCCGGTATGTTTGTCTCCTATTTCCCTTTTTCTACTAAGCCCTCCTGCACACGGGGCGTTTTGATAACTCCGGTAACGTTAGCTGTCTAAAGTCACGTTAAAAAAGTGAGTTTTTCAGCTTTTTTTTTTAGCATTTTTGCATTAGCGGTTTTTTGTTTTACAAAAAAAAAAATTGGGGGGGGTCAAAAAAAGGCCAAAAACGCCAGTTTGCGGCGTTTTTTTACTGCATTTTGCCGAGTTTTTTAGCATTTTTATAGCTAGAAAACTCCTCTAGAAACCCACTACCCGTATTTTCCAGCATATAAAACGACTTTTTATACTTTTTAAAAACATACCCCAAAAATCGGGGGTCGTCTTATATGTGGGGTATACAATGTGAACCTTTAGTTTGTTTGGGCCAAGCTGGCTCAGAATGAACGTCCCTAATCTGTCAGCCTGCTGGATGTGCAGTAATACTGTATGTACGTATCTTCGGCTACATACAATATACCGCGCTGAGCCAATTACGGCGAGCGATGTATTCTGTTACCCTAGGTTCACATCTGTGTGTGTGGTGCCGCTGCGGATCCGCATGAAAATCCATGCAGCCGCACCACCCGCACAGAGAATTGCGGACCTGCGGGCGGGTGCCATTAGTTCTAATGGCACGCTGCCCGCACTGCGAGACGCAGCCGTACTAGGAACCGAGGTTCCCGTGTAGGCTGCGTTTTCCAAAGTAGTGCAGAGACTTCTTCCCTGCATGTCACGGGCACGGGAGTCCATTCAAATGAATGGGGTCTTGTGCCCGAGCAAAAAGCGGCCCGCACGGCTGCATAGGTGTGAACCGAGGGTTAATGAATACAAAGCCTGCTCGAATTTGCTGAGGTTGTGACCTCATCAGCCCGCCTCTCTGACTCAGCCAATCCGAGCAGGCTTTGTATTCATCAA